TGGATTGGCTGACGAGGCTGACGTCATTTCTTGGAAGCTCCGCCTTTCCAGAGGCTATAAAAAGACTCGCAAAAGAATATCGGGGCTTTTCTCTTAAATGTCACGATGCAGTAAACTTCATACAAAAAGTTATTAGTAATTCTTGTATGGCCTTCTTGTATGGCCCTCGTCACAGACCTTAATGCAGGCATTGTCAAAACTTCAAATTACAGTTGTTGAACTTGTTTTCTTGAATTCGTGCGTGTTTTATTCTCATATATTATTCGTGAGGGTTTACTTCATCTCTTGTGAATCTGACAGAGAAAGAAGCGGTCGGATTGCATGATGGGCCAAAGAAAGAATAATTAGTAGAGAGTAAATTTATTATTTTGCTAGCCGTAACATAATGATGTAATTACGCTTTTATACGCTCTAACACTTACATTTTTAATTGATTCTAAGCTAAGATGACCTTTGCTGCTACACTGCTTTCCCATTACGCTGAAAATTTTTATTTACGCTACTGCGGTTTAAGAAGGATCAAGCGAGTTGATATCCCAAGACAGAGTTGCATACGTGAATCTAATATACACATAGTATAACTTGTCTAAGTTTCCTCGATTACCTATACTGGCCAGAGGACTATAGGATCAACTGCATAACGCTTCCACATTGCTTTAAGGGGCCAACTACAAAACACCGTTAAGACAGATTTATCGTTTGGTCTTTCCTTCTGACGACTGTAATCATAAGCTCTTTATTAATTTAAATCTAGCCTTTATGCAAAACTAAAAAGCCTAACATAAATTAAATTTCTGCTACATGCGTAAAACGCATAACAAACATTCAAGTGAAGCTAAAATGGTAAATACAAGTAACACGCATTTAAATATTCGCTCAGGCCATGAATATTCACGAAGCATATTAGGCCTTGCCCAACTAAAGCCGATAAATGAATTCAAGCAGCAAGACTGAGACTAAGAATCACGGTTAAAGGAAAGTTGCTAAAACCTTTCTCTCAAACTGTGTGTTTATCCCGGCGAACAGACTAGCTGCATGGGTGATTTCGTTGTTTTCCCTATATGTAATGTGGATTTCGAGCCAGTTCTCTTAAATTATCCTTCACGAAAGCATCTCACCTCATAGGCAGATAGTTGTTGAATTGCTTTGCCTTAATCAGCTAGCAAAACATAACATAACATTCTTTCAATTTTTTAACCTATCTCACACAAACATATACTTGCTGCAGTGAATAAAATGTCTGTAGTTCCATCAGCTGTAATTAAAGAGAATTTTCTTGAATTCGCGTTTTCAGCGATTCTTTCAAAATAAATCTGTTGCAAGCGTTGATAATTTTTGTATGCCTGATGAAATATGAGTTGCGTTTTTGTAGCAGGGAAAAAAACAGCAGCAGGAACATTTGTTTTGTTTTAATCTGACTGCCTCACCTTTATGTGCTTTGTGTGAATATGTACAAGTCATGGACACTGTTCATCTGTACATGTGCTCTGCACTTAAGAGTGAGAAGTATTGGAGAGCTCGTTGCCTGGTGACCTGATGGTCAATGGCCAAACATTTGATAGATAAAATTTTGTAGCAGGAATAAGAATAATTTTTTTAATGAATAACCTTCTGCCTGTATTAGGAATCTGAGCAGCTGGCGAAAGTTTCTTTTATTCTGATGAGACTGGAGATTATCGTCGCTTACATTCATTTGCCCGGAGTCACGATGACGTCTTATGGAAACCCATTTCCTCCGCAGAAGATCACTAATTTTAGTAAATGAATAAACGTTTTTCGAAATTCTTTAGCTTGATGAGCGTTTGCGATATCAGTTGCATCAACTATGGATTGTTTGAGATTAAGAACGATATTTATTAAAATATCAGAAGGTAATAAGGAATCCTCATGATATTTTTTCCTTTAGTGGTCACGGAATTTTTCATTAGAATTTCTCCAGTCGCGAAAAGGCTCCTTCTCCAACTATTCCGGAGTTTGAGTATTTGATTGACTTGCATATTCCTCGCCGAATATTAAGCGATATTTTTCTTCGTGAAGATAACATTCTCGAGTTGTCGCTCATCATCGCTTAATATGCGATTGGCGATATTAATGACCGATAGATGGTATTTCAAATTCATCTGCAACTGCTAACTCATCGATATATGATACGAAGTTGCGTCTTTTCTTATAACATTTCTTGATATATTATGTGTATAAAATTATAAGTCGATAACAGCAGTACATGCTTTTCCTGAATAACTCCTGTGGGGAAAATGAAAAATTTATCTTTAAAATACTGCTTTCAGGCTTTCTTGTAAAATTTTACATTTCTATCTGTATTAATTTACTTTTCTCCTAAATTTAAAATTATATATTTTTGTTAAATGATTAATTTTTATTCAATTTCCCTAATAAAAGATAGATACTTTTATAATATTTTAATGGAAATAAATAATTCATGAAAGTTTTTATAAAAATAAAGCCATTGAATAATCAAGGAAATAATTTTACTAACTAACATTCTTTAATTTGTGCAGGAATGATATTAATGAACTGGAGGATTTATCTGCCACAGATATGAAATGCAGTTGGAACACTAGGAAGTGTAAGAATTTCTACACTCCTGTTCCTGTGCAGAATTTTTCTCGTGTAAAAACACCTCCAGAGCACAACTTCTCTGGAAAGAAAACGAAAAATGTGCCTGAAGAAATATGTGAACTCTTCAAAGACTCAGAACAAGAAAAGAGAGACATCGGACAAGGTTTGTTGAGAAGAAAGAACTAACAGAAATGTAAGTATAAAACTTATCTGATAGAAATATATTTGTGACAATAATGAACATGGGCATCATTTAGAAATAAATTCAACTATTTTAATGACAACAATCATTTATCGTAGGTTTTGGCATCACTGAACGAGATTTTATTTAGGATGAATAAAGTCTCAGTATTAATTCAAAGACGCTTAGTATTGCTGACGTTTTTAATCCTGGTCTTTGCGACATATTAGCTTAAAGAAAAATGCATATTATATTTCACATTTAAGTTTCCAGTTAAAACAAACTGAGAAAATGCTGCATAAAATATTACATAACTGTGTTTCTTACATATTTCAAACATTGGTTTTTACACAGATTTTGTATATAATATTTCAGACAATAATACATTATTTGACAGTCTTAATGCTATGTTTTAATGATTCAGATTATGCGGCTGTGTATTATTCTAAATTAAGAATACGATTGTAATCCTCAATCAGCCTCACAAAATATTGTACTTGTTAGTGTCAATAGATTACCTAAAATATGGTCTTTATGTAACTTTCATGGATCTCGAATAAATTCATTAATAAGAAGAATTAAAATCAATATGACATTTAAAACTGGTATTAATATCTCACATACCTTCCCCAGACGGAATTCATAACCTTCCGAACGAAAACATTTATAATACACTTCTAAATCGCAAATTGGGATGTTAAAGTAATAAACAGCAAATATGAAATATACTTATGTAGCAAATTTTAATCACTAGGCTTGAATTGTTTGTAACATACACATATTCGTGATTAAACAGGCTTTCCGATACGAAGCACCCTTATCCATTCGTCTCTTCGGCTAGCAAGGAAGTAGATCCAAAACAAGACTTTCTTAGCCTACTCTTTGCATACGGAAATTTATGAAAACTTAACTCCGGGTTTTAGAACCTTTTGAAGCACACTGAGGTACGCAGCAGCTTACATTGTATCTTTTGTTTGCGCACGTCATTTCCTTAAATTCCACTTTCACACTACGCGATAACATTTACTCCAACTAACCAAACGTTTTCGGCGCGGAGTATAACTTTATACTCAGTGGTTTTCTGCAATATCGCTGCTGATTCATCTCAGTGCTATTTTTGTTTCAGCGACTTTGCTACCAGAGGGAGAGCATTTCGCTGCAATCGCGAATACTTCTTTGTTTGTATTTCATTAATCAGTTCTGCTCGGTGATAAATTTTTAAATAATTTTAGAGGGAATGTTGCCTCATCTTCCTCATTAAACAATCAGTGGATATCTCAGATTTCTTGACTACGGCACTCTGTTTACGTTGCTTGATCATAAAATTAATAATGATTCCTATTATTGAACCATGTAACTTACAAATTAAGAATAGTTCGAATCTGGAAAATGTGCTTGTTTCAGAAAACTACCACCTGATACTCAGAAATGTTGTAAAAAGAATGACAGAAAAGAAGGTTAAAGAATTAGCCAATATTATTTGGCTAAAGATAGTAGTAACATTTGCTGTTCAATAACACGTCGGACAAGAAAAGTGGAAGGACTGCTGAAGCAAAGGAACACTTAATGGCATGTTACTTTTTCTTTTCCGAGTACCATTTTGGCAAATCAGATCTCATGTGAGGTTTCGGGCTTAACTCCGAGGTTAGCAGAAGAACTCTTGTTAGTTCTCCATGCTCCTCCAATATACTTTAAATTTTGATCATTTGATTAACATACCATTTCCCTTCCTGAAGCGCACTTTTAACAAATGAGAATAATAATTTCCTTATCCATATTTAACCATCTTCCAGCATTCCCTTGCTTGACCACTGCAATACTTCCGCTAATGGTCTGATCCATTGATAATAGATAAGCCTTAACAAATTAGTCATATGTGATTTCTCCGATAAGAGAGAAATTAGAGGATAAAGCAGTCCAAAAGGACCTCCTTCAATAAGAAAATTAGCAAAATAATGCTACTTTTAGTTTTTATCAATTTATTCACAAGAAAAATTTTGGGGAGGAGGGGCGGATGGACATGGGCTTTCTCGACCGCCTCTGTGCACGCTATAAAAATTTTATAATTTTAATGTTTCTGTTGAAAAGACTTATTTACAAATGCAATCAAAATATTATTAGCACCGTTACATTACATTTTTCCGATTATTAAATTTTTGTATGCGAATATTACGTAGAGGGCATTACAACCGCAAACATTTCACTGTCCCTTCAACGTCCTTGAAATTTTTAGGGCGTTACGTCATTTTCCGGCAATAACATTACGCATAACTGACACTTCAACTTTCTCTTTAATTTCACTTCGCTAGAGAGAGTTTCTTTGTGTCGTTTCTAGTGTTAGAGAATATATTGTATTTTCTTTTTGGAAGAAAAAGGAAGGTAAGATCTCGTGCGATTGTTTTATGCATTTTGTTAACTTTTAGTAAATTGATTTTTATCCTAATTATAAAATTTTGATGTATGAGAATTAGGTCTTCGTTATCTGCTTGTTCATTGGAATTTATATGGGCGTGTTGCTGATCGAGATGTTAAAATAATTATCCCCTTAATTCTTTATGTGTGAGATGCTAGAAAAATATTCCTGTTTAATAAAAAGTAATTTATAGTCGTGTTTTCTAAAAATAATTTCAATGTTTTCCATATTAAAACTATATTATTATATACGTAGAGTCAGCATTCAGTTCTGGGAAATTCCCTGAATACTTTAGATGAAATATACATGTTATATCTTGTCTCGTAGAAGTATGAGATATAGTGTCTCACAAAAGTGACCGGCCACTATAATTTGTTTATTTATTTATTTATTTTTTTTTTCAAGTAATAGGAGAAAAGCTTTGAATTAATATAATAAAGAATATTTTTCCTTTGAGTATATATTTTCTTAGCTTTCTCTCTTTGTACTAAATAAATTTTAAAAAATTAAATGGTAAATTAAAAAAAAAAAAAAAAAAACATTTTAAGCTGAAATGAAAAAAAAAAAAAAAAAAAAAAAAAAATTCTTCTCATAATTTGTAATTAAAATTGTCTGCAATAAATAAAAAACGAAATTTTGGGGAAATAGTTTGGATAATAAGATAGGCAAAAATGTAAAAATAATTTGCTTTTATAACTTAATTTTTTTTTTGAGAAAATTGTTATTTAAATTTTTTCTTGCAATGTCTCTATCATGAAAGGAAGCATCTATAGAAACCCACAGATTAGTTATTGATTTGCATCAAAAGAATTGGGAATCTATTAGAAAAATTTCCTATTTACTTAATTTAAGTAATTCTGCAGTTTTTGTTATTAATAAGCATTATAAAAAACAATCATATTCAAAACAAAAGAATGGAAGACCATAAGTTGATGGAATGAAGTGCTTTATTTTAAGGAATATTAAGAAGAATCCAAGGCGAGTACTTTTAAACTTCTTGCGGAACTTTGTGAATTATATGGTATATGTGTAATTCCAGAAACTGTAAGAAGAGGTATGCGATCTGCAGGGTATCATGGGCAAGTAGCCAGAAAAACATTTTATGTTGCGGTAAAAAAAGACTGAAGACTTCAACTCGCTTTCACAAAATCAGTAAAACAACAGACACCTGACTATTGGAAAAAAGTATTGCTTGCTGCTGAAAGCAAATTTAACATCTTTGGCTCAGATGGACAAGTGCTGACATGTAGAAAACGCAAAGTAGAATTTCGGAAACAAAACTTAGTATGAAGTGTTAAACACTGCAGAGGTTATGGTATGGGGATCTATGGCACATTCCTGTGTTTGTAATATATAATTTACAAATGGTATTATTGATCAGTATAAGTACCTTGACATCTTGAAGTAAAATTTAGCATCATCAGCACAAAAACTTAGTATAAAAATTAATTTAAAATTCTACCAGGACAATGATCCAAAGCTTACATACAAAAAACTTTTATATACATACACATTGTAAGGGGGGGAATGGACACTTTAAAAATTGAAAAAACTTACTAGTAAAAACTACGTATGACCAAACAAATTTTATGAATGTAATGACGGGATTGAACTATAGTCAAAAGTCGTTAATCCAGACAACTTCGGGACTTCGGCAATTCCGAATTATCAATTTTTCCGTATTATAGATCATCAGTTTAAATCTGGTTAGATGGCATGCAGAAATTCTAAAATTAAAAATATGAAACCATAATTTATGAAATAAAGAACAATTATGATCTAAAGGGTATCAAAATTTACAAAAAGAAGAAGCTTAATATTTATTTGTTTACTTTATTAAACATTTCTTTCAGTGTAAGTTGTTTTAGTTGCTCGTTTTTTATGTGATAATACTTTCTCTTTAATTCTATAAACAGACATAATTTCTTGTTCAGTTACAAAGTTCCGCTGTTCAAGGCCTATAATATAATTGCTACGTCGAGAATACCAACTAATTTTTCAATCGAAATTTTTTCATTTTCAACCTCTGTGTCATTTTTTTGGCTATCGGAAGCGAATTATAATGACGAGGAATTTGATTTAAATCATATCAAAGACGGTACATCGAGATGAAATACTACATTTAGTAAGGAATTATAAGCAAAATAAAAATAAAAACACCTGCCCTGAAGATAAAGATAGTGCTGACAGATCAATTTCCAATTAATTACGCGTGGCGGCGTGAAACTGATAAACGGATTTTGGAATTGTTAGATAAACAAAGAATATGCCTTTATCCATTTTTTGCAGCAATTCCACTTTTTGTTTAATGGACTTCGAAACATACTTTCGCTTTGTAGATCCTTTACATATTAGTAAATATATATCAGAAATTCTATTTGACATAATCGAAAGTTCAAGCTTACTTTTATAAAATTGCTCTAACAGTCTGCAAAAAATAATAAGCCGGATCCAATTCGAGGATTAAGGAACAACGCAATCTGCAACATTAACTGAATTAGATCATTTTAGCTTAGCTTATACCGTCCGTTATACATTAAACACGCATTCGTAAACGTATTTTGTGCATGCGCACACGTATATTCGCAGCCGTAAAGGTCCAACGCGCAGATAGTTTGTAACTTTGAGGTCCGGATTATGGGTGTCCGAATTAACAACTTTTGATTGTATTCGTATTTATAAAGTCCTGTTATATACTTTGCGCTAGTTTAGCAGTTATAAAAATTGTCTTGTTCATTTTATTTCAGAAAGTGTATATAAATGACACAAATTTTATAAATTTGAATACAAGTTTTCAAAATGTAGATAAAATAGTAGAAAATTTAATAAAGCAAAATATAAGGTAAATGTGAGAAAACTGCTAAATAATATTTAAAAATTTTAAAGCTTATGTATGATACATATCAAAACCTTGTTCAGAATGAAGTCTTACATAGCAGATTTTGAATTCATAATAGGTCAAGTTTTTTTTTTTTCTTTTAAGAAAAACATTTTTGCTTATTGTGAACTGTCTTCGTCACTTTTCCATCAAAATATAAGCAGAAACATAGTGCACAATAAAACATAGTCCTTTGAACTGTTGTTTCCATGTTCAAATTCCCCTGATCTAACATAAGTCAAAATTAATTTAGAACCCAAAGAGCTAATTGGAGATCAGAGCTCTGTGGAACATTACTAAAAATATAATGGACTTTAAAACTGCCATATAATGTCATTTAAAAACTTGAGGAAAAGTTCCAATGTGAAATCACATTGCAGTGATCACGGGCCTCAAGACCTGGAAAGACCATATATGATATTGAAGATTGTGAAGGGAGAATCATGTGATCATAGACCTGAACAGGTTAACTTATCTACACGCTGGGTATCTATACGCATTTAGAATAGCAGGCTGCGAGGCTCGAATGACCTAATATGCAAAAAATTCTGTTTGATAAATGACAATTCAGAGTGAAAAGATAGAATTGCTGTAAAAAGCTAGAACTTTTTAAATTATGCAGCATGATTAATAAATGAAAAAGGGGGTCAGTGCGTTGAACTGTGGCCTTCGAGAACAAGGCCTTACAGCTCAGTGACGTAGAGCGCGTGATGTCAGTACAGAGAGTGCACACCTCTTTGGGTTTGAGGGCAGCGTTGGGTCAAAGGTTACTGTTAGTCGCCATTGCTACGAGAGAAGTGGCTGAACTGCAATTTTTGACCTAAAATCTTGGTACAGTCAAAAGTCGTTAATTCGGACCTCAAAGCTAAAAACTTTCTGCGCATGCGCCGCGTTGGCACATGCGCACAGGCGTTTTACGCATGCGTGTAAGACCTTGACTATTGCGCATATGCGTGTGCGCAAGTGCAGAATACGTTTTTGCCTGCGCGTTTAATGTATAACGGATGATGTAAGCTAAAATTATCTAATTATCTATTTCAGTTAATGTTAATGATTGCATTGTTCCTTAATCTTCGAATTGGATCCTGCTTATTATTTTTTGCAGACTGTAAGAGGAATTTTATAAAAGTAAACTTGAACTTTCGATTATGTCAAATAGAATTTCCGATGCTGGAACTTCCAAAGGATCTACAAAACGAAAGTATGTTTCGATGTCCAACAAAACAAAAGTGGAATTGCTGCAAAAAATGGATAAAGACATGAAGAATGTGACAGAGAGGTTAGTGAAAAACGAAAAAATTTCGATTGACAAGTTAGTCGGTATTCTCGGCACAGCAATTAACGGGACTTGAACAGCGGAACTTTGTAACTGAACAAGAAATTATGTCTGTTTATAGAATTAAAGAGAAAGTATTATCACATAAAATGAAGCAACTTAAACAAGTTACATTAAGAGAAATGTTTAATAAAGTAAACAAATAAATATTAAACTTTTTTTTTTTTTTTTTGTAAATTTTGATACCCTTTAGATCATAATTGTTCTTTATTTCATAAATTACGGTTTAATATTTTTAATTTTAGAATTTCTGCATGCCATCTTACGAGATTTAAACTGATGATCTATAATCCGGAATCGCCGAAGTCCCAACGAGTTCGGATTAACGACTTTTGACTATATATACTGTGCTTTTTTCGTAGTCGGACACTTTAAATTCGAGTTTTTTTGCAAGTTGTGTGTTGTTCCAGAAACAATATAATGTCTTACATGTGTTCAGTGCCGCGATGTAACTGAAATTACAATACATATTTTCGCTTTTCCTGTTGATGCAGATGTGCAAATGGATACGTGCAATAAAACGGAAGGACTTCATTCAGACTAAAAACAGCAGGGTGAGGTTTCATTACAGTGATTTTTATTGATATTTAAAGAAAACCAGATTAAATATTCGATACGTTTAATACGTCTGGTTTTAAAGCTAAAGTGATTTCTACTGAAAAACTAGTGTAAAATATTAAAAAAGTAAAAATAACTAGTGTAATATATAAAGGTAAACAATAAATTAATTAAATCCATAATACTACAGGATTATTTAATGTATAGTAAATTTTGTTTTATGTATTGCTGAAACTCTGTGCATTATGATTATATATTAATCATATAGCATTAAATGATTTGTAATATCTAATTTATTTCAGTTTTATTTTTAATGTACTTGCCATTATAGATTTAAAGATTTAAAAGTAATGATGTTTTTCACATTACCCTTTTTTTAAACTTTTTTGTCATATTTTCAAAATTATTGTGAAAATTGTAATTAATATTATATTTTTCAAATATATAAACAAAACTTGAAAACAATATTGTTACACCAGTCGCTTATAAAGCTTAGAATTTCCTCCCACTAAAATTTTGCTGTTACGTTTTTTAAATTAAACTTCATACGTTAGCAAAATTCTACATTTTTGAAAACTATAGAGTACATGATGATACAATAGAATAAACAATTAAAAAAGATTAAATATACTGGGAGAATGAAGTGCTTTTGCAAGGGACGTCCGGTATCCTATATTATCATTGCACTTTCCTGATCTGATATAGGCTCTACCACGTGCGCTTCAGTAACGAGATGTGGGAACCTCGGCTAACTGCCTTGCATATTTTAAAATTTAAAACATAATTCTGCAGTGTGTTCCTTTCAGAATGTTGTCTATTAAATTTTCAGAGAATTATTATTTTTTCCCCTTTACAATTCCTTAAGGATACATATAAGTGATCCAAAAAATCAGAACTCGCACATAGTTGCAGGTACAACTTTCGATCTAGAGAGCTACGAAATTAACTATTATGATCAAAAACTCTAACGTGGACATATCAAGATTTCGCTAAAGAGTAATAGTAAGAATTCATATCTCAATTAAAAAAGTGTTTAATAAGGACAGTCGGCAAAATTTAAAGTAAAATGATTTTCTCTGACAGATTAAAAATAGATGTTTGGTTTTTATTCTGTAAGAATCTGGATCACTGCAAGTTTAATAATTATGTTAATAATAACAATAGCACCATTTGCAGATTAAAACAATGTTGACATTATTAAAAAATAAATTTTAATATATTTATATCAATCGATAAATGATGAAATATTCCTTTTTAATATTTAGTTTATTATGAAAGATCTTCTACACTAAAATTTGTTAAAAAAAATAAATGTAATAACCGAAAATGCTAGTTCTTCCATTTTATGGCCATACTGAAGAAAATTAAGTATTATTTAAAAAAAGTCTGTAAGAAAAAGTTGGTTCTTGTAAAATGCTCTTTTTTTATTCATATTTTTCATGTTTACATATGAATGAAAAATAATAGCAGTGTTTCGTTTGCAGTTCGAAAGCTTGACATTTTCGCATTATGAAGTGTTGGAAAGTTTATCCAATCTATGGAAAATAAAATGAGACTAATATAAATAATTTATCATCCAGGTGAAAATTTTTATCAAGTATTAAGAAAAATAAGCTCAGATATCTGAAGTCTTAAAGCATGAAATATAATAAATGTTTTAATATGTTTAAATGTTTTAAATGTGTAATCATTTATTTAATAATCTCCTATTTACTTTACATCGGAATAACATAAAATTAGCGTACTGTGGGTTCACTCACTTCGAATGCAGGAGAGAGATTTCTTTGCACTCTTCATCGTGACGTCACGAGAGAGCTGGACAGCCTTGTTTCTCGAAGGTCACGGTTGATCAGCCATGTCGGAATAAATGTCAAGATGCTGAAAGCTGTACTCTCTATTAATATTTTTTCTTAATTTCTTCTTAATATTTTTTCTTAATTTCTTCAATAGAATTTTTTAGTTCAATACAAAGCTCATTCAGTAAATTTAGTTAAAAAGCAAAATACGCTGTTGGCCATTAAAATTGCAACATCATGAAGGAAAGGAAATACAATGATCAAATTCCCTGTGTATCAAGGAAGGTCAGAGCACGACGTGCAGCATGTGGTCTTGCATTATCTTGTTGTAAGATATGGCATAACCACTGGATGTAAGACGTCTGAAATGTACCGATGTGCATTCAAATAACCGTCAATCCAAATCAGAGATGTCCATGTCATGTACCCAATGGCTGCCGAAACCATCACGCCAGGTGCAGGGTCTCTATGCTGATATCGAAAGCAAGCAGGTGACGTGCAGTCACCTCGGAGCTTCCAGACACTTATATGGCCATCAGAATAGTCATGTGACATTGCTTTGCTCCTGTATTCAGCTTTGCCATTTGGTGCACCAGTCACCATCTCTCCCTATGCTGCATTGTCAAGGGAAGCCGAAGTAATGGTCGCCATGCTGCTTCAAACATCGAGGAACCGTACGAGCGGATACTGGGCATGATGCAAACATGTGGTTGTACAGTTTTGCAGGGCTACAATATGTTGTCTTCTTAGGGTTAGTCATGGATTCTGCGTGCTGTTCAGTATGACCCTCAGCAACCCATAGATTCCAAGTTTGCATGACAGTTGTTGGATATCGACCAGTGCGATGGGCAATATCACAGAACAATAATCCATACTTTCGATGGCAACAATCCCGCCTCTCTTGAATTCTGACACTTTCTGGTAAGCATTTCTTCTTATTATTCAAGGCATATCACAATACTTCTGTTCAAAACCCCGACATTACAAAGCACTTTCCGAATGAGAAATTCACTACAGAACTTTTCTTTTATGCAGTGTTTCAGATGTCATTTCTCCCTCCTGCATTGTCTAAATGTGCTGAAATAATACTCATTTGCATATCCCAACCTCTTCTTCCTTTCATGTGATTTTGACGTTCATCAGATTATTTCTTCCTGATGTTTCAGTTTTAATGGCCAGCAGTGTATATTTTTCTTCATTACAGAAATATATGAAAAAAATCACAAGGATTGAAAAATAATTTAAAAAGGATATTGAAATAAATATTTCTGCATTTTTTATTCGAGTTTTTCGTAGAAAAATAATTTTGTTACAGTACAGTATATTATAAAATTTAGATCATGTTGCTAATTTGATAATTTTCTGTATGATTTTAAAATGTTAAAGTAGGTGCATAATGATTCATTTTGTTTTCAAGGAAGATGTTTCGTCCAAGCGTGTTTCTTTTGGGAGCGTTACTTTTGCAGTTTTCTTATGAAGGTATACTATGTTAAATTTTATTTTTAAACAATTTATAATCATTAAGTATTAAATTGTATTAATAATAATTTCAGTCAGTAATATTTACATAGGGCTCTACTCTTATATGCGCCCTAATATCAACAAATGTGGTGATATGTGTTCAGTGCTGGTTTATGGCGCAAGTGTGTATTGTATGGCAACCCTGTTGATGTTGAAAGATCTTTTGCTGGAGTAGTTCAATTAATTGCTCGTCGTGTGTGTTTTGAAATGGTCTATGTTGGAGACGTGGTGGCAAGATTTCAGTCGCGTATTTTACATTGTGTGCAAAGGAAATTTAGTATTAAAAGGTACGATGTTGGAGTTGTTAACGAGTCTGCTCTGTATAATGCTGTGTGTCTGAGAAGATAGGGGGGAAAGATAAAGTGTTGGAAGTTGATGAATCGAAGTTCGCCAAAAGGAAACATCATCATGGCCATCCTGTTGAGGGGCAGTGGGTATTTGGAGGTGTGGAAAGAGGGTCTGGGAGATTATTTTTAGTTGCTATGCATGATAGAAGTAGGGAAAGGCTGATGCAGTGTATTAAAGAGTGAATTGAGCCTGGTACAGTTATTTTTTTGGATGGATGGAAATCTTACAAGGATTTAGTAAAAGAAGGTTTTGAACATTTATTTGTGAACCGTAGCATGAATTTTATGGATAGTGTGTCTTGCTGTTATATAAATAGGATAGTGAGTACATGGCGGCATGTTAAAGGCGGTATGAAATTGGTATTTCTGCTGTTCGAAAAAGAATTCATTCATGGTAAGTGCATTTTATTTTATTCTTGTTCTTATTTTGTAAAATGTTATGTTCATTGTTTTTTTAATATGAATTTCTGTCGTTATGTTTTTTTTTTTTTTTTTTTTTTTTAATTGTTTGAAATTTATTTTAGTTAGTTTATTTTGTTGATTAGTGCATAGTGCCTAAATTGTGCAATTCGTAGATGTTTTTTAAAGTTGAAACAGAATGCTGTGTACATGATATTCTTTGAAATGTATTAATTTATTAAAGCGAGGTGTGCGTAGTTCGTAGATTCATTCGTTGCCTTGATTGTGCAATTTGTTGTTGTTTTTTAAAGTTAAAACATATCGTTGTGTACATGGATTCTTGTCAAATATCTTTGGTTAGAAACTTTGTTTTTGCTATCTAAATTTTTTGTTTTTGTTTCGGATTTTTAGCTTAAATTGTGTGTTCAAAATGTGGTTTTTGCATATGCGAAAACTGCGATTTTGGAGACATTTTAGGCTTAAAGTTCGAAATGTAGACAAAACATTTAGATAGTAATATGGCAGCGTGGAGTTTCTCGCTAAAAATGTTTGGTGACCTGAGGACACGTATAAGAGTAGTTCCTTACGTAGTGAGTGAATTTTATATTATTTTCAAAATTATTCTGTGTAAGTAAATAAATACTGTTAGTGTTTAGATATTTGCACCTTTATATTATTTTCAAAATTATTCTGTGTAAATAAATAAACACTGTTAGTGTTTAGATATTTGCGCCTATGTCATTTGCAGAGAAAATCAATGTCTCTTAAACCCATTTTTATTGTGGATAGTGTCATATCATTGTCCCATATATATAAAAGCATCCCATATATATAAAAGCAGACTGGTGATTTATTTCACTGCTATCATGATTAATTGCTTTTTCACCAATAGTTTTTTTTAAGAATGTCTTAAACACTTTATAATTTTCTAATTCACAGGCTGGAACTCTTATACAGTCAAAAGTCGTTAATCCGGACTCGTCGGGACTTCGGATTATCGATTTTTCCGGATTATAGATCATCAGTTTAAATCTCGCAAGATGGCATGCAGAAATTCTAAAATTAAAAATATGAAACCGTAATTTATGAAATAAAGAACAATTATGATCTAAAGGGTATCAGAATTTTCAAAAAGAAAAAGCTTAATATTTATTTGTTTACTTTATTAAACATTTCTTTCAAGGTAAGTTGTTTAAGTTTTGCTTCGTTTCATGTGATAATACTTTCTCTTTAATTCTATTAAACAGACATAATTTCTTGTTCAGCTACAAAGTTCCGCTGTTCAAGTCCTATAATTGCTGTGTCAAGAACACCGACTAATTTGTCAATCGAAATTTTTTCGTTTTCACTAACCTCTGTCACTTTCTTTGCTAGCACATCGAGATGAAATACTAATTTGGTAAGGAATTATAAGCCAAATAAAATAAAAACATCTGCCCTGAAGATAAGGATAATGCTGACAGATCAACTTCCAATTCATTACGTGCCCGCTCCCGCTCGCTGCTGCGTAATTGATAAACAGATTTCGAATTTCAAAACATACTTTCGCTTTAGATCCTTTACATATTAACAAATATATATCGGAAATTCTATTTGATATAATCGAAAGTTCAAGTTTACTTTTATAAAATTGCTCTTACAGTCTGCAAAAAATAATAAGCCGGATCCAATTCAAAAATTAAGGAACAACGCAATCATCAACATTAACTGAAATAGATAATTAGATAATTTTAGCTTATACGTTCCATTATACATAAAACACGCACGCGAAAACGTATTCTGCACTTGCGCACACTCATATGCGCAGTCGTAAAAGGTCTTACGCGCACGCGTAAACACCTATGCGCATGTGTAGAAAGTTTTTAGTTTTGAGGTCCGGATTATAGATCATTCCGAATTATGGGTGTCCGAATTAACGACTTTTGACTGTATTATAAAGAAAAATTAATGATTAATTGTTTGAAGTTTGAAAGACTGTCATTTTCCATATAATTATGAATGTAAAATAACAGCTGAATTTAATTTTCTGTCTATAATTCTTTTAGTTTCCATTTAGAACATTATAGCCGAAACATTTGTGAAAAATCTCCCATATCATTAATGTTGGAAATGCTCTTGGTATCATAACATTAAGTAAATGAACTGTTTTATTTCTGCATGTTATCAGGCTGTTATACAGCCAAAAGTTGTTAATCCGGACTCGTCGGGACTTTGGCGATTTCCAATTTATCGATTTTTTCCGGATTATAGATCATCAGTTTAAATTTGGTAAGATGGCATGCAGAAATTATAAAATTAAAAATATGTAACCGTAATTTATGAAATAAAGAACGATTATGAGCTAAAGGGTATCAAAATTTACAAAAAAAAAAAGCTTAATATTTATTTGTTTACTTTATAAAACATTTCTTTCAATGTAAGTTGTTTAAGTTGCTTCGTTTTTTATGTGATAACACATTCTCTTTAATTCTATAAACAGACATAATTTCTTGTTCAATTACAAAGTTCCGTTGTTGAAGTCCTATAATTGCTGTGTCTACCGACTAATTTGTCCATCGAAATTTTTTCGTTTTCAATAACCTCTGTTACTTTCTTCGCTATCGGAAGCGAATTATAATGAGGAGGAATTTGATTTAATTCATATCAAAGACAGAGATGAAATACTACATTTAGTAAGGAATTATAAGCCAAATAAAATAAAAACACCTGCCCTGAAGATAAAGATAGTGCTGACAGATCAACTTCCAATTAATTACGCGTGGCGGCGTGAAACTGATAAACGGATTTTGGAATTGTTAGATAAACAAAGGATATCCCTTTATCCATTTTTTGCAGCAATTCCACTTTTTGTTTAATGAACATTGAAACATACTTTTATTTTGTAGATCCTTTACATATTAATAAATATATATCAGAAATTCTATTTGACATAATTGAAAATTCAAGCTTACTTTTATAAAATTGCTCTAACAGTCTGCAAAAATAATAAGCCGGATCCAATTCGAAGATTAAGGAACAACACAATCTGCAATATTAACTGAATTAGATCATTTTAGCTTAGCTTATACCGTCCGTTATACATTAAACACGCATTCGTAAACGTATTTTGCGCACGCGCACAAGACGCATGCGCAGAAAGTTTGTAGCTTTGAGGTCCGAATTAACGACTTTTGACTGTATCACATATTATCAGACTTTGCTAAGATAGGTTGCTTTGATATTTAAGGGATATTATTGCACTGAGTGAGCCCCAAATAAATGTAATCATCTTTCTTCAGATTTGTTGTTAGTTTTTTTTAAAAAGAATGAACTTGGGTATGAAGGGTGTTCAAATAAAATGGTATGAAACAACACTGTGGTTATAATTAGAGTCTTTATTCACAAATAATCGCCAGAGGCCTGACAGCACTCCCACTGTTTCATGAACTGTAGGATTTCCTGGTTCCAGAATTCCTGTGGCTGAAGGAGCAATCCTCCATTATATCTTTCAGTTCATCATCTGAGTTGAGTGCTTTTGTTTGAAATGCTTTTTTAGTGGAACAAACACATGAAATTCTGGCTGTAGAGCAGATGCTTAAACTGTTCTCTCTTGAACTTGGCCATTACACTATGTGTGAACTTGAGACATGTATATGTGAGTTATCGTAGAGAAGAATCACTTCCTCCGTGAGCAGCCCAGGCTGTTTGTTCTTGATGGACGGAGTTCATCACTGCATTTGTGTAATTCTATGAGTATCTGACCTCAGACGTCAAAAACTATGGTGAGCATCACCTTGCCTGCCGAGAGAACAGCTTTGAAGTTTTCAGAGGGGATGATAAAGCATGCTGTCCAGCTTCATCGGATTCGAAGTGATGGCGCTAGAGGAAAGCAGAGGCTTCGTGATCCCAGAACAGGTGTTGCTGTGCTAGGTCCATACACAGTTTCCTGGACACAGCGTTGGTTCGCTGAGCTTCTTCCGAACCCACTGTGCATGCACCTTTCGGTAGCCTAACCTGTTGTTCAGTGTTCCAACATTGGCCCCTACCATCACTTACATTCTCACTGTGACACGTTGATAATTTCTCACCAGGTTGTTAAGTTTCCTCCTTGTTGATAAGTTTGGCTGTGAAGAACACCTGGACTTAAGTAATTTAACCATATAAAGCAATACTATAAAGGATAGGTTTCCATCTACATCAACACACCCAGCATTCAGCTAACTGGCACGTCAAACTACATAACCTCCTGCCCGAATACAGGATAATGTCATCCATGTCACCTTCCATCACCAGAGATAATGGCTTCAAACAAAGTCTTTGGTTGATCTTTACATTATGGTAACTTGGCGTTTTTTTGGCGAAAATTTGCCGACCAACTCTCCTACAGCAACCCTCTATTTTTTTTCCTGCCGCCATTTTGTCTTCACGAAGTAAAGACATGTTTCTTTTCTTTTTATCTACTGAACACTTCTTCCAACAATCTACTAGCCGAATTACACTTATGCTAGAAATTTTATCTAACAAAACTGCTTAATCATGACAAATATTCACTGCAAAATTGGGAAAAAGTGCACAATACCATACTCCTTACGCGTTTTTCAAAATAACACATACACATAAAGCATGTACATGCCGACTTATTTTTACTTTAAAAAAATATCCCAGAATTACACAAAAATGGCATTGCGCACACTCTTCACTATATCCATGTACACTGCTTTTTTCTCATAAATTAGAAAATTTCACGAAAATACATGACAATTTTCTCAATCTTTAAAACCCGGTAAAAGAACATATATGAAATTACCTGATAGCGAAAAAGTTTATACCCTTTTCAAATATGAACATTTCCACATATAAAATAAATAAAATATCCAAAACCTTTTACCTCTAAATCATCTATTATATTATACACGTCACCAACGAATTCATACCGCAAGCATTACAAATACTTAGTGTCAAATATTGAAATTATTTCCATGCACGTTTACTTCAACTTAAACGTATACCAAATTCCTACAAACATAAAATTCACAAAATAACTATCATTTAATTAAAATATCACTAAACCATGTACACGTCGACTTATTTTTACTTAAAAAAATCCCAGAATTGCACAAAAATGGCATTGCGCACACTCTTCACTATAACCATGTACACTGCTTTTTTCTCATAAATTAGAAAAATTTCACGAAAATGCATAACAATTTTCTGAATCTTTACTCGGTAAAAGGAACATATATGAAATTACCTGATCGCGAAAAAGTACATACCCATTCCAAATATGAACATTTCCCCGTATAAAATAAATAAAATATCCAAAAACTTTTACCTCTACATTATCTATTATATTACAAACGTCACTAACTCATACCTTTACTTCATTACAAATGGTTACAAATTCTTAGTGTCAAATATTTAAATTATTTCCATGCACGTTTACGCAAATTACTTTACTTCCACCTTACATTTAGAACAATGCATAAAAATAATATCCTCAAATAATTAAAAATACTAACTTACCTATTCTTCTTCAGAATCTTGATTACGTGACTGATAAACTTTTCTTATTTCTGTTTCAGGATCTTTAAAATCATACTTATAGTTCACACCAAGGTACCAGGTAAAATAAATAACTTAATAAAACATCTTTACTTCTATCTCGCACAACCTTAAAGAAACACTTATTACCCCTTAAATACCCATTTCGAATTCACTTTAGTTAGGGCCATGGGATCCAAAAATTAACGAACACTGTTTCACACAACACAGAATAAAGGCAAATACAAAATTTCCAGATTTTTTCCTGATTTCCCCCCTTTTCCGATTAAAGAACCGTAATTCGTCCATTAATATCACATGACATATCACATGATCTCTCATTTCCCTCACACAAAATAATGCGTAATCGGAACTGAGTACTGCTCACATTATTACCAAAGTCCCAGGTAGTAACCTTTATCGCCTCCAAAATGTCGCCAAACTACCAGTTACCATATTGTAAAGATCAGCCAAGTCTTTCTTCAGAGAATGAAATCAATTTCTTACTTTTTATTCATTATTATCTTTTAATATTGTAAATTTAGTTATTCTAATTAATCTGTGTTCTCATATATATATTCTTTGTAATTTTTGTAATATTTTTAATAAAGCATAGAAGTCATTTGGAAGACCCGGGTAAAAGAATTTGCTGGTATGGCAAATCTTGTAATTGGATGATAGTATTCACAGTTGGTGTCATGCTTTTGCCTTAACAGGCCAAGCTTAAGTCTTTCAGAACTCTGCTTTCTTTTCAGCCAATGGCTTGCTGCCCAGGCCTTCATTCAGCTCATGCTATCTTTCTTTTCTTCAGACGTTTGGCCCACTTCATTTTTTTTTCATCAGCCCATATCGGCCATTATTTGAGGCCAGTGCCAGCAAGCCTTCCCATTTTGCATCGTGTTAGCCTACATTACACTAAAGCCCACCTAAAAGTAACTTAACACTGTTTGTCCTTTTGCCTAATAAGGAGTGAGGTAGCACTACTTTTCCTCTTGCCTAATAAGGAGCGAGAAAAACTAGGTATTCCAAAACCTGGATTCAAACCCAATTACTGGTAGGTAACCAATGCAAACAAGCTGCAGATGCTTTAAGTAGCAGGAGTAGAGACTAGAGATTATTATTGACCTGGTCTCGGGTCAATACTTAAACACTCCCCGGACCTTTATGAAAATGGCACCCTACTTTCTTGCTTACTTGTCAGACATAGAGTCTACTCCGTGTACATCCAGCATTCTGTGATGAATATCAGTGGGTTTAATTACTTCCACAGTCAGAGATTGGATAATATCTCACTGCTCCTCAGTCATTGAATTTTTGAATGTAAATGCTATGATACTCTCGTATGCACTGCCGTGTCAACTGTACAGAACGCACAACTGCCTGCTTCTCCTGTATATCTTCTATGGCCACCTGCACGTGATGTGCACAACCACACTGGACACTACACTCACACCTTAGTTGTCTCAGTAAGTTATCCCAAAGTGTTGTGTTCAAATTTTAGCCATATTGATTGTTGCTACGTTTCGTACCGAATACCTCTAATACTTTTTTTTAAATGGATACAGCATAAGCTTTTGGCAGTATCTAAAATTTACATGCAGACTGAGTGATTAAGTTTGCCAGTGTTGACATTTAAATGTGGTGGGCATTGTAACAAGGAAGAGTCAAAACTTGAAATTTATTGCCTTACAAAAATGAGTTTTTGCTTGTCAAATTTAAAAAGCTTTTATAATGAGAGTATGTAAATATCTGTGAGATACTGGAAAACAGCCTGTTTGGAAATGCAACATGAAAGAGTGTAACAAACACATTGATGCTAAAGGAGTAATTGATTCAAGAATAGTCATCTGCCATTTACTACAGCAGTCAAATGTATATACTGGAGGAGGAAAGAATTAACGTACATTAAATTTTGCTTGGAAGAGTCAGAAGTGGCTGGTAAGACTGTTGTAGACTGTAGTAATAATATGCGAAAGATACCATTTGTAAGTAGTTTTATAGTTCTTTGGGATAAATTTTGAACTAAAAATATGTGCCTAATAACATGTATGATATGAAGTAAATAACTTTCTCCAATATGAAATGGCCATTCTTTTTCTTCTTAAAAAAAAATTGGCAATTTGTATCAAAGTAGTTGTAATAGTACCAAAGTATCAAAATGCATATGCATTTTCCCTTAGCTGGCCAAAAATGTCAGCACACTCTTCTTTTTTTTTTTTTTTTTTTTTTATTTATTTAAAATACTGTGATGCTACATTACATCTTTAGTTAATGCCTAGTAGTAGGGGGTAAACTTTTTTTTGTGTGGGGGGCTTATACTCAATTTTTTTTAAATGATTTAATGAGCAATAATACTAACTGTATAAAATACAAGGTATTTTTCAATTATAAATCCAGAAAGCATTAACTTAGACATTGAAACTGCATTTATAATATACATATACAGTAATTTTAAAAAAGCTTTTTTTCTATATTCAGTTAAGAGGCCAAAAACTTTTACTATCTTTTAATATCATTTAAAATTTGCTTCAATCGTAAGTGAATTTCAGAAGCTTTACAAAACTCAGTTTCGATGATTTAAACCATGTTACTTTTTATGAATCGTTTATTTATTTATTTTGTAGGAGACATGTAGGAATGAATTGATTTAAAAACTTTTTTGTAGGAATGGATATTCTTTTTATGCAATATTGCACCACAGTTTAATGTTGTCTGCAAAATGCAACTTGGTTTCATTTTTTCACACAAGTTGCATTTGGGGGCAAAATTTCTTTTTCTTGAAGAAATAGTTTGGCCTCTTAGTTCTTTAGAGCAAAGTAAGAGGCCAAACAATTACAATTCTCATTGTAAATTAAATATACTAGAATCCTAGTAAAGTAACAAATTTTGTCAGAAATCCCCGTAGAGAGTGACGGGAAATTGTTGCAGTATCAGTGATGGCAACTGAAACAGCAACTGGCAATTTATTACTTGTGCCCAGCTAAAATTAAAATGATAAATGTATTGCACACTAAAATTAAAATGATAAATGTATTTAAATGATGGTGTTTACATATCTTTTATTTATTGACTTGAAAATTTTCAGCTTATGCCATGAAGTGCCCTATGCCTTTGGGGTTAGAGCTTAATTGCCCAACGATTTTAATGGACTCCAATAAAGAATTTTGCTGTAATTCTGCAAATAATGTGCCATATTGTTGTGATATTGGTGAATATATTCAGAACAAGTAAGTACTTACAGCTGTTATTTTTGCATTGAAGATTGCATTTAAAAAGTTATAATATGGAATTTCATGTTATAACATTTAAAGTTATGTAATGCTTCCCAAATTTTAATGCTGAAAACTTTTTTACCATATTCTTTTTAAAGCTTTTGAAATGTTACAATATGATGTCATTCATTTATCATTTTTTGTCACTTGGCCATTTGATGAAATATGAAGTCTTTAATTTACTGCCCATGTAGTCTTGCAAATTGCAAGTTCTCAGCATATTTCCTTTTGGCAAGATACTCTACTTTTTCTGTTAAATTTAATCAATCCAGTCAATAGATGGATTGATTTAAATAATAAAAAATGTTTTTAATAATTTAAACCTTTATTTTTTAACATTTCTGTTTGATATAATTGTAATTGCATTTAATTTATTATATGTCTAACTGATAATTTTTATAAATTTGTAGCATTATAGTTTTAATCCTGTATATTATATTCCCATTCAATTTGACTATTTTATGCACATTAAAATTTAATAGTTCTAATCCTGTATATTATATTCCCATTAAATTTGGCTATTTTATACACAGTAAACTTTTTTTAAAGGGATATGTTTCTGATTTTTTATAAAACATTTGTTAAATTATGTAGAATGGTATATTTGGCATTGACTAGATTAGTATCATGTTTTCCTGCAGAGGATGTGTTCCATAACCCAAAAAATATGTAAATAAAAATTATAATTTAAACTAATGGTAACCCTTTAATTCTCCCTCTCTGTTCTAAAAATCATAACTTCTTTGGATTGCTTCATTTATAGATCATTCCATCTTGCTTGGCCTGTGCAGCACTGATGACATAACTCTTGGGAACTGAAACTTTTCTAAACTAAACCAAAACCTTCCTCTTGGCAAACTTCCATATTGGATAAATGCACCACTTTTATCTTTAACTTCCATGCTGTTTGGATGCTATTTCTGTCAATCTCTTCCTATTGCAGTAGTATTTTAAAATGTAAATGTTCTGAAAAGGCCAAGTAAGTGAATGATTAGAGTGCCAAGTAAGCTGTGGCCACAAATGTATTTTCAAATAAAAGTGGAATAAAAACTGTCTTGACTAACAAGTTTCTTAGATATTACGAAGTCAACATATTAGCATACTACACAATCAGAATTCTTCCTCTCCAATATGGCTCTACGATCTATCCTTACGCATCAACACTGCTCTGTTTCTCCCTCTGTTTTTATTACATATATATAAAACCCTCTGTTACTTGGTGCTCTGTAAGCTCAGTTTTTTTTTAAATCTTATATATTAGTAAATTGTACATTTGCTTGAATTGAGAAGATTAAATTATGTTGCTCTTATGTTCTGGTTAAGGTTTTTATGTCTTAAGTTAGTCTGTATGCAATAGTTCTAGAATTATAAACAATTTAAAAGTTGTCTAGTTGTCTAAGTGGTATTAAGCCTAATGAAGCCACCATTTGTTTGCATTTGAAACTCTTAGTAGAATAGTAAATTAAGTCAGTTTGTGCACCAACTTCAGTGTATTTTTCCCAAGTGGAACCAAAAGTAAACATCCAGTTTGTGCATCAAAAAATCTTCCTGCCCATTGCTGTATTGCTTGTTTTTGTTGTAATTTTTTCTGAAATTTTTTTGGTTAATCTTTGGATTATGGTAACTTAGCGATTTTTGGCGAAAATTTGGCGACCAACCCTGCTACAGCAACCCACTAGTTTGTTTTTGGATGCCATTTTGTTTTCAGGAAGAAAAGGCTTTTTTTTTAATCAACATTTTTTTTCCAACAATCTGCTAGCAGAATTACGCTTATGCTAGAACTTTTATGGAACAAAAGTGCTTAATCATGACGAAGATTATGTGCAAAATTGGGAGAAAGTGCAGAATCGTCCACTGCTTGCCGCGTTTTTAAGAATTGCACATACACGGTATCATCCATGTACATGTCGACCTATTTTCACTGAAAAAAAAATTTCAGAATTGCACAAAAATGGCATTGCGCACACTCTTTACTTTATCCATGTGCACTGCTAAAGTCCTAGCTAATAACCTTTATCGCCTTACCAAAATGTCGCGAAACTACCTGTTACCATATTCAAAGATTAGCCATTTTTTGTTGTGTGTTTTTCTGTATTTTACAATTTTTAATCAAGATGCTTTTTTCATCTATTTTTGCTCTGCCGTTAAGTGAGAACTGTATTAATTGAATGAGAAATATCTCTAATTAAATTTGAGGAAATATATTTAAATCAAATGCAGCAAAAAATGTGCATAATTTAATAGGAAGTCATGATGTTCGCATGAGATTGTTTTTAAATACTTTGTTACCGAAGTTAATTCATTGCAACAAATTCCAAATCGGAAAAATAATCATGATTCATTCAAGGTACTTGAATCTATCAGATTAATGTGTTTTCTTGTTACGTAAAATAGGTTTAAAAATTATGGAATAGAAAAAAATTGCATGAAGTATCTTAATTTAAATTTATAAATATAAAATCATTAATTTCACTTTTGTTCTGTTTTTAGCTCTGCCATTATAGCTGGAATGATAGTTGGACTCTTGATCCTTGTGATAATTATCACTCTGTGCTGCTGTTGTTTCTGCAGTTGCTGCCTCTTAGCAAGACGTAGAGTACAGCGTGGAACTGTTATTTATGGTTAGACTACATTGCTTTTACATGTGAAAATCCTGATTGCATTTCACTTAGCAAGATTGAAATTTTAATTACATAAATTTTGTGCAAACTGCTATCTTGTACGCCTCTTCATTACTCCAGTTTATTAACATTCCTAAAAAAGTATTAGTGTGTTATTTCGTGTTTAAACTGTGACATTGTGTCAGTATAATCAAAGATGGAAATCTGAAGGCCAGTCTTCTATGATTGTATAATATCTATGTCCTCTACATATAATCACATTGTAATCAGCAGCTGTTTTAGCTTTTTTTTTTTTTTTTTTTAGTTTGATTTCTTCTGAAATATTGTACTTAATATCAGAATTTCCAGAGATATTTGAGTATTCGAGAAATGTACCTAATGTACATAGACTGTTTTTAAATAAATTTATATTAAATCTGTTGTGGAACTTTTATTTATTTATTTTTTAAGTTAGCTGTTAAATTTGTATGTGATATTGATTGAAGATAAGTTAAAATTTGTTAGCCAGGAATGCTTGGTCACCCATGTATTTCTGATTCATAATTCAACATATTTAGAGCATTTGTTAACAGAAAATTTCTAAGTACTTTCATAATTATATTTTGCTACTATTAATTTATTATTATTGCTATTGGTTTTTTATTTTATTTAGTATTTGTTTGTTTGATTTGAGAATATATATTGATTCTATTTTTAAAACTTTGATAAGATCTCTTTTTAATTATTGAATAGATAAAAGTTATTTTGTTGTAGTAAGTACGATATATTTCTCAATTTAAATAATCTGTTTCAGCAGAGTTTGTTTAGTGCCTTTATATGGAGGTTGCAGAGCGAAAATTTAAATTTGTCTGGGAATTCAAAAAATTTCTCTTTGCTAAATTTCTGTTTTTCTTGAATCTTCAAGTGTAAGCTGGGTTCATATTTTAATTTTTATTAAAGTTCTTCCTAAAGTTCAGTCTAACATAAGCAGTTACTAAACATGCTTTGTCGTTAAGAAATGTGGAAGCTAATGGTGCAGTAATGCAGATATATGTGAAGAAATTCCCACCTTCTTTTCCCTTCTAAATTCCTGTGAGCTAACATTATGTGATTAGAATTTATGTTCATATTTATTATCAATATTTTCTGAATTTGCTCAGCTGATTTAATCAAATGCAGTGTTGTCATATTAAAATAGGTTAGACTGAAGTATTTGTATATAAACTGAACAAGAAATATGGCATCTGCTGAATTTAATGCTATAGAGAATATTTTTAGAACTTGTTCCATATTTCTTACATGCATATATTTTTAATAAAGATATATAACTTAAATAATTTTTTGCTTGTCAAGTGTTTCAGAATATTATTTATGCAGAGAATTTTTTTTTTCCCAGTAGCGTAAATTTTTATATTTTTGGTTACAGAAACAAAAGCTTTTTATTTTATATTTATTATTTATGCTATTTTTTTCAGCACCAGTACCTGCACAACAACAAAACCCGCCAACATCTTCAGTTTCTCCTCCTATGTATTCTGCACAGTCTGGTGTAATTGTACATGCACCTCCTCCCTCAGGTCCCTCACAGTATCCACCACCATACCCTCATGATACCTACCAGCCCCCTGTTAATCCAAATTATAAATATTAATTTCCTTTATCATCAAAGATGCATTTTATGTATAGCACATTAAGTTTTGGCATTATTAACATGATACTGAATCAATTTCAAAGTTAGTTAATAGTGTGAAGTTTTATTTAATTTCTGGCAACTTTTATTGCCATCATTTGCCTTATGTAAAAAATTAAATGTAAACAAAATAAAAATATTTAAAATGTGCTCAGTAACCGAACAAGAATATCTCTGATCTTGTGCCAATTTACAAGTTATGAAATATGCTGTTATTCAGTTTATTGTTCACTTGAATTATATTCTGCAGTTCAAATTTGTAAATTGATATTTGAATCTATGCAAGATCTGTATTTTGTATATAAGAAAAGTCAATCATTTGTTGGGTTGTATTCTTATTTCATTTGTATCGTGTACTCTCAGTGTACAATATCAATAAATCTTTAAATGGAATGTATATATTTATGTATATTTTAATGTAAAAATTTGTACTTGTAATCGTGTTAGTACTGTTTTGTGATGTTTTATATATATAACTGATTACCTTCAGCTGTGCCAGCAGTCATACAAACATGGTATTTGTAACCTTGTTACTATAATATCATTTTTATATGAATATAGGCTGGAAGGGGGCAGGTCATGTAATTACAGGGAGAAATACAACATTAAAGTAAAATGTGCATTTCATAATTATCATAAAAGTTAGCTGCCAAAAGTTTTATGTGTTGTAATGTATGAATTAGCTCTATATAGGTCTTGAATCTGTACTATTTCACTAATATCTCTAAGCTGAGACAGTTTTTTTTTTTTCTAAAGATATATGTAATATTTTTTATCAAAAAAGAGAATGAGGAAAAGAAACCTCGTTTTCTCTTTACGTGCGTCCTTTTTGTCCTGATTATTAAGATTCAGGTTTTTATATGACTAAAATTTTATTGTTTTAATCTTTTTATTTATCATCAGATAGCTTTATTTTGATTTTCTGTTTGTCAGTAAAAGTACAGTAATAATTTAACTAACACTCATAATTTGGAACTGGAAAGTTCTTTCATTTATACTTTGTTAAATTAATTTTTTTAACTCATTTCTTTACAAGAATTTGCACCAAAGGTTATAAAATCCTTTTATCAGATTTTCGAAATTTTTTGCAAAAAGAAACAAGTAATGAGAATTTACATGTAATGAAGAGTGCAAATTGCGTAGCTAGCTAAAATATCTCATGCGTCCATTCACTATGAATCCAGTTACCTTTCTCCATATTTAAATATTTTTGTTCATAGCAGTGAATAACATTAATGAGATTGCAAGCAGAGAGATTTACAGTGTTTTCAAATAGCTGACATTTTTGACACTTTTTTTATATTTTCTAAAATAAAATTTTGGTGTATTTTCACTCCATACTAAATTTAAATTTCTATTTCATGTATACATTTCAAAATCCATTGAATTTCTACACTGTTTTGAAATTTTAAAGGTTTAAAAAAAATGGTTTTTTTACTAATATTTTTTAATAAATTACAGTACAAATTAGTCTACTAAACTGTTTGATGTTAATATATATTTGGATGAGGGCTACATCTAGTTTTTTTAATCTTTCCAGAACTTTGGTAATTGATAGTCATATATGCTGCTACATTGTGTATTTCAGCTTCTGTGAGAAATGAACATTTGAGCTTTTTAAATTTACTTTTTATCTAAGCATTGTTTTGTATTTAATTGTTCTCCGAACAGTATATAAATTCCTATATTGTAGAATTATGTCAATAAAGTATGTATAGTGAATTAGCATTGTGATTTTTAATATTTGACTTTTGCATTTTTCTAACTTAAAACTATGTTTTAATATCAGTGTTAAAGCAATACAGTTGTGACATTGTCTTATCAAATTTTAGCGTTAGTGATTTGTAATGTGTGAGTAAATATGGCAGAATTTTCATTAAATGTACTGTACTGTATTGTATTGTTTATGGTAGACAGCTCCATTTGTCCGTCCGTTGAGCAAGGTTGTTAAAGTCTGGAAATTAGGAAAATAAAGAGTAGAACTACTTTATTATTAGTTGTAATGTTATTTAAGTTTGTAACCAGGTAAAAGTCTGCATTTTTAAATTACTTAAATGTGTTAAAGTCAGCTAAATACCCGACATTGATATTTTCTGTTGCTGTTATGGACATTTTGTATAGATAGTTCTTCAGTAAGTTCTGGTTAATAGTGGAATTTTTTTCTTTCTGTAGTACTGTGTATAACAGACAAGTAATTAACTGTGTAATATTGGTCACATCACTTGTGCTGCAACTTTTCTTAACCCTTTGATTGAATTAAAAAATATATATATATATATATATTAACCGTTTTCTATCCAAGGGAACGAAATATGTCAGAAATAAGGTAAATTTAGCATTTGGGATTTTTTTTTGACGAACGGTTTTCAAGCCAAAGGCTGGGATACATATGTCCCACATGTAGCGATCAACTTATTATAAACACACCTGTTATTCTGGAAAACTTTGTTATATAAAATAGATTTTGCAACGTATGGTATGGGGTAAAACATTCTTTGCATAACCCAACATTATATATTGGACAACTCGTATTTGTTCTTTTTTCAATGTTCATTTGTGTACAACGAGCGCAATGGCATCTTGATTTTCCAAAGGAGATTGTAGTCCCATTAGTAGTCAAAGGGTTAAAAAGCTTTGGATAAGGTTTGTAGTCTGGGCTGTGAGCTTGGTCATCATGCTCTTCCTATTTGCATGTATTGGTAATACCAGCTAACATATTCTGAGTCAGAAGAGAGGAAAGTCAGAAGAGAGGAAAACTCATGGGAGCCATTAGTTAAAATGAAATTCCACTGTAATAAGATAGATAATATACACATTTTAGTTTTTAGTAGTGCAGTTTTAGTGATGTATCATATATTGGTATATGTGGAATAAACATTAAAATAAAAAAACACGAGGTGTTTATAATTTCAGAGTACAGAAGATCTGTTAGTCTTCAAACCATAAGTTAAAGACGTTGTTTGAATAGCTGGCATTATTGCTATCGAGCAGTCAATCTCGCTGTCATGCTAGTAAGCCTCTTGGCCATTTTGGATTATTGTCACACGTGCTGGTTTTTTTTTTTTTTTTTTTAATCAACCTGTTAAACAATAGCTTAACATGCTAATCCAGCACTATTCTACTTTAAATTTGAATTGATTTATAGTCTACATTTAAGTTTCACCGCTAGTTGGTGGCGTTTTTGAGGGCACGAAGATCGTTCATTTATGTTCTCACTTTAATTAATCAAGTGTTATTTTCACACTTCTTCTGAGCTGGTAATTAATTCATGCCTATGCGAGAATTCGCCAGGTTCATTGTAGGTTCTAATTTAGTTTATGTGGAATAGCAGAGACGAATCTTATAAATCAACTTATATATTTAAGAGTTGTGCATTTAATTTACTAAATTTCATTTGAACTTTCTTAATAAATATAGCAGCATTTTTGAAAATTGCATTTTTAATTTATTTTTCTTTAAACGCAGATTTTGGCTTGTGTTAAAAACTTTTCTTAAAATAAGTTTTTTTTTTTTAAATTTACTTTTTTATCATTTTTTAAAGAAGAATCTTGTAGATTTGATAAAATTGAGGATCCTCTTCATCTGTAGAAATTTCTCAGGAAAGAGTTTGCAGTACATGATTGCTTTATTCTTTTATCAATATTATTAAAAAAATGTTCAGATGATTTCATGATAGCATATGAAATGTCTTAATGAAAATAATTTTATGTAGGATTATTCACAAATTTTAAAACAAACAAAATATGCAAACATTAGCAATTTTTTTCTAACAAGTTTTTTATTGTAACAAAAGTAAACTAACCAAGTTTTTAAAAATGTTTCATAAATGATTATTGTGTCCACCTTTGCTGATATGACAGAAGTTTCTGTGATACTTTGTATCATCCACAGTTTGTGTAATTGTCGAGGATACGACAGTTGTGAAGACCCAGGAACACCATGGGATACCACAGTTGTGAACATCCTGGGGATGAGCTAGGAAAAGAAGCACAAAGCATTAATAAAATTTCCACAAAAATCTTAGTAAGATGGCTAACAATTTTTGCTTTTTTCTCTTTTTATTAGCCCAAAAGGGATATTAGTCTCAAAATGGCATTTTGCGTTGAATCACTATAAACGGCGTATCAGTTTTTATATTGTTGCCACCAGTTTTTATATTATTGCCCTGTATTACATTTAAAGAGATTAAATAATGAAAAATCTGCATGAATGTAATCACGTTTCTTGCATTATGAAAAACAATGGTACCTGGAGCCTTCGAATTTTGAATAACGGAATCATCCTCCCGAACAAGGATAATTGGAAGCTCAAAATTTTGAATTTCGAACTTGTTTGCCCAAAGGTCATTAGTCCAAAAAGGCTATTAATTTCAGTCTTGCATTTTGTGGCATTTCACTTTTCAAATTGTTGTCACCATATATCCACTCGAATATGGGCATCTGGGAAGCCAAATTTGGAATTTGTTTTCTTATCTATTTCATATTTTGTAAAGCATTTATGAGTTTTTGACCAAGAAACTCAGCGATTTCAAAGTGAGCAATTACAACACTGTATGAAAAAAACATTTTTATATCCAGGGACTGTGAATCGGAAATTTTAAAGGTGTGTTCTTTTTAAATTATTTTGCGAGATTGCTGTTGAATTGAATTTTATGATTTTAGTGCGAAGGACATGATATTTAAAAATAAAGGTAACACACAAAATGTTAAAAAAAAAAAAAAAAAAAGGCCTCTTTGGGTGTAATATAAAATTTCAAAACTTTAGATCTTTCTTATTATTATCTTTTTCACATCTGGTAAAACTTCAACAATTTTTTTATTTACAAACTCGCTGATTTCAAAGCAAGCAGTGGCAACAGTGTACGGGGAAAACTATTTTATCTCCAGCGCGTGATACTGTCTATCGCAAATTCTAAAGAGTGTTTTTAAATATTTTGTGAATTTTTTTTGCGGGGGGTGTTGAATTCTAAAGATTCTTTTTAGAGATTCTAAAGATTTTTTAAAAATATTTTGTGATTATACTGTTGAATAGAATTTTACGTGGCCTAAGTACCAAGAAGGTGAAATTTAACAAAGTATGTACATAAAATTTAATTTATATTCTCATGAAATAACTAATTGTTGAAGCTGAAGACAATTATTAAGGAAAGCACGAAAAAAACCAAAACTTCTCTTTTCCATGGGATTTCTTAAATGTAGTCACCAAACATGAAGATGTAAGGCATTTATTTAGCGGCTTACTGATATCCTTCTCATACATTACTCAAGGTCTTCTCTACTGCGAGTTCAGAAATTTTATTGCTTTAAGATGCATCAGACTCTTTTGACGTCATTTGAAATATAAAAACGTATCTGCTGTATTAACTGGAAAGTATCTCAACTCGCGGTGTTAATCTATTAAATTAATGGACAGTAGTTAATGAAATTTCAGAATAAATTTTAAATACTGCAGTGATTCAGATGTTGAAAGTGCGTGTTATTGTGTTATTTAGATAACAGAACCGGTTTTTCACAAACCTCTCCTTTAAGTGTATGTAATAGTAACGATACTCTTTTTCGAAGCCGAGCGGTAAAGTCGCTGAACACTGGTAGTTCGGCTCGAGTCCCACGAACGGGCTGGCTGCATGGGCGTTTTTGTGGTTTTACCCATGTGTAACGTGTATAGGAGCCAGTTTCCCTTAGAAAGTCCTCCATAAAAGCATCCCTTCCCTTAGGCATATAGCCCTCAAGGCTTTGCCATAATCGCACACACGTACTTTTCGAAGTCGAATATCATTTGTGTTCGGAAGCAGCGAATTTTGAATTTTTATATCAAGAATCAAGTCAAGTTTTGGATGTTGGTTCTGTTTTAAATTTTAGACGAGGGTTTTGAGAGAAGCGTGCGTGCGCATAAGGTCAAAACATCCTCAAGACATCGTATTATTTTGGAAAATACAATATTTCCTTTAAACCTTTGGTTATTTCGGATAATATTGTTTTAAATACTTCTGTCTCCTTCAGCTATACAGCAGCAATTCGATGTAGAGAAAAAAAAAAAAAAAAAAAAGAGTTAAAACATGTAAAGAATATTTCTAAAAATTACTTTCTTTCCCCAAAATCTTCTATTTATGTCTTGACACGTGCAGGACTCTTTGAATCCTGTAATAAAAGTCCACTATTTCATTAGAATATTCTTTTAATTCCCTCTTGCGTTTTCCTGAGTACCTGTAATTCTCTTAACACAGTGCTTATTGTTAACACAAAATTCCAGGAAACAGAAAATAATCCACAAGTTCTTAATCGTATGAGTAAAGTGTAAGATTAAGAATTGTTGCTCTTTTCTTCGAAAGGAACTGCATTGTACAAAAAAGTGTGATTATACAACAACAATCTAGTTGTACAGTGTTTTCCATCTGCACAATAATTCATGCTGTCTTTGTAAATTTTGGAATTTATTGCTCACCATTCAAATTCATATGATTGTGAATTAAATTTTAGTATCCTTTTACAACTTTTAATGGCAACCATTGCTATTTTATTCATCTCATAGCCTTCTTCTGACCTTTTGAAGCATATTGAGGCTCTATAGGTACCAATTTTCTCAAGAATGGCAATAAATTTGGCAAAGAGTGAACTTTTATACTTTTGGGGTCCTCTTGGAAATGCTTATAATTTAAGATGATTCTGTCATAATCGTATCTTCTCCAAAGTCACAAAATGTTTCATATCAACAAAAAAATATAAGCGAATTTTTGGCAAGGTTTCGCATACCATTTCAAAGGTCTCTGTTGCAGATTTATCTTACAATATTATTCTTGTGAATATTTTCTTTGCCGTATCTAAACATACAGGTTGTGTATGAATTTTTAGCCCAAAAAAGCCTATTAGTGTCGAAATGAGATTTTGTGTCGAATCACTATAAATGTGCAGTTTCACTCTTGATTCGATCTTTCAAACTGAATCAGTCTGTTGTGGATTACCATACAAAGCTATTTTAAAGCAAGAGATGCAG